GTGATCACATTGACCAATTAGCGTTAGAGTTTATTAGAGTTTATTTGCAGCCAATAAAATTTAAAAAAAAACGAACCGACATATAGACCCCTATCAATACGATATACCCCCCTACATGAGTACCCGGGTATATCATATGAGCTAGGGGAATACCCCGGGTACACATGTCGGAGAAATACGGTACATCTGAACTGTGAATAGAATCCATAAACCAAGATTGTATCAGTCATAATGAGTAAAAAGAAATGAAAATTTAAATAGCATAGTATTGAAAATAATTAGATTTATAGAATAACTGAAAAGGCCTTCTTTTAGCAATACTAGTGTAGTTAATTGTTCTTATATTAACATGCGGGCCTTGATATTGTTGCAAAAGCTCTCACTTTTCGCACCATCGCGAATTATTCGATTGTTATGATAGAATGTTGTAGCAAGGACTATAGATGCAGACTTCTTACATAATCTAGTTAAGTCCTATATAAAAAATCGGGTTATAAAATAAAATACAATTGGAAACCTGCATCTATAGCAAGAACTACTGTTCATCGGAAAAAAATCGCGAATTGATGATTCCCGTGACGATCTGCAATCGATGTAATGTCAGCTATGTATATCAAAAAATATATAAAGCTACGTTAAAAAATTTTAAATTCTAGTATTAAATTTTTTATCTACAACGAAAATCTCTCTCTTTTAACCAGTGCACAATATAAAACAGAATTGTCATAAAGAATCAATTTGAAATTTAGATGTTGACATAAAAAAAAGTTTCAACGTAACATTGTTATAAACATATCTAAGAATAGATTCATATTAAATTAATCGAAAAAGGTAGTGCGATTCGCTCTAGACATACAAACCATTCCTTACTATAAGTTAAAATATATATAAAGAATCTGATCATTATCATAATCACTAGCTTGATTACTGCAGTACTGTAGGTTGAAAAAATCTTCAATAGTTCATTTTTATATGTGCCACACATAGTTTTGATTTACATAGCTGACAGCACCCCCTAGTACGTACGTACGTACGTACGTAGATAGTTCTCTACGTTACACATATGTGGAACTGTACAAAAAATCTTAACTGCTATTATTATTTTGGATAGAGCTTTTACTACGGAAAAAGCTCTATTGACCTATGACTATACATCCTATATATGTAAAATGACCCTTTGATATTGTTTCAAACTTTTATCAATTCTAATTTTCTAGTAGCTAAAGGTAGATTGTCGGTGAAATGTCTATAATTATTCAATTTGTAAAAGCTTATTTCCACTTGAAATCAAGCTTTGGTTCGCTTCGCTTGTTCGTCTTTCTTACGATCATAACATAGACATTGATTATTTGAATCTTTATTGGTTGTGTTGTGTCTCTCCTTGGTTTCGATGCTAATAACATTATTTTCACCTCATTTAAAAATATCATAATTTCCCTTTACATTGTATTTACTACATTTTATACATTTCATGCAGCTAATTACACTACATATTATTTTTTTTAAACCTTCGTATGCAATCATGATGCTTACAAGTCAACAATAACACAACCTGCTCTAATTACAAATAAGGCCGGGATCAAGAATAAATCGACTGACATTATACAACATGAAATTTTATGCATCATTTTTGGCATTCTCAACAAAATCTAACCTTATAAAAGGATAAAATTTCTCAACCCAGCCACTTCTCAAGTTTCATGATTCCTAATACCCTTAAGCCAAATAGAGTTTCATACTACGTAATTACATTCGACAAGCAAGAAAAACAAGGTTTTGGTAGTTGATGTTTTATACATGAATATTTCGGTTTAGCTCTTTTCTCATTCAAAAATAATTATTCCTCCAGATAGATGACGCAAAACAATCTAATGATCAACAGTCTTGAACTAAAACTGTATAGTAAATTATATGCTAAATTCGTGAGTGACAATTTAGCAGCTTAACAAAGATCGATCCACTCAAGCAGAAGGTCGATTAGTGAATTTAGTAAATTTATCAAAAAGGTCAAGAAATAATAAGCTATAAACACTTATTTATTGAACTACTGGTATGTCTTTGTAGAACACCCTTCATTTTACTTATGAACCATTTTATGTATTAAAACTAATAAAATCTTTCCACTCTCTTTAATTAATATATTCTTTTAACTCTTCAACTCTTTCAAGTCCTTTAATTCCTTTAAATCACTAAAGCATTTCAATCAAATTTCCCCATTTACTTCATGTAGAACAAAATTCTCGGATCCCTTTAAAAGTAAAAGATCAGCACATAATTAATAAATTCGGCAGATCGACAAAAATTTCTGTACATACGTACTGTACGCATGATAAATTTTGCCAAATTCTACATACTAAGAAAGCACTAACTCGCACGTATTAAGTTACCCAAATAACAATTTTTCTATAATATAGTTGGCTGATATTATTACTTAATACCGGCCTAGCTTCGATTAATTCCCAAAAAATGATGTTGCAGCAACGCCAGATAGAGTGAGGAGAGTCCCGTTTTCACGAACCATACCATTTAGCTTCGAGCAAGTGTGAAACCATCAATTGATCCTGTTTCTCACTTATTTTACTGCCATGATGATACCTTGTTCAGTTACTTTCTTCAAATTACTGAGTTAAATTCTTCAGTGTGTCCTGTAGACTTAAAATCCTTTTATTTATTCACTTTTGGTTTGCTGGCACTCACACATTCACTCGTATCTACGTTTTTGGATTTTTTTAACATGGGAAAAATAAACTAAAAAAATCTTTCTTTAAATTTCCACATAACATTTAATTTATATCACAGAACAATGGAGATAAATTATTATGGTAATTTACCCAAGGTGTGATAAATTACCTACACATATTCAATCTATATTAAACCAAGTAAATAATACAGTAATTTATAGACAAATTATCGAATCGTAATTTACCAGATGAATTACGGAAAAAGTTTGTAACTTACGATAATTTATCAACTATGAGTAGGGATGGGTACGGTCGGTCATTTTCGGTCAACCGTTTTATGACCGTTGACTGTTTCTTGTGATCCAGTGATTCAAATCGGATAATTTTGGTACCATTTAATTCGTCTCAATGTGATGAATCGAATGGTACCAAAATCATCCGATTTGAATCACTGGATCACAAGATACAGTCAATGGTCATAAAACGGTTGATCGAAAATGACCGACCGTACCCATCCCTAACTATGAGTATAATATTGTATTTAATACATATATAAAAAAGTGCTGTTTATTCTGGACAATACGGTAAGAGTAACAGGATTAGTGGCGCAGAATTATCAAGGTTTTGACGATCTATCAACTGCGCCATATTCTCGTGTTGTAAATCATCATAAAATACATCAAATTTTTACGGTTTGATTCACTATTATTATTCACTTTGTTGTGAGACACGTGATCTTGCTGATGACATCATAAATACAACAATGATAAATACGATAAAAATCATGATCTGTTCACGGTATTTTCAACTTTGATCACCATGGAAAACAATATCCAATACACTACGGAACCTGAACATTTAACCGCATATGAATTTCATTATAACACTCCTTCGCGACGTGATAATATGACTTATGTACAAGAAAATTTTCAACGTGCTAAAGGAGTACAATTTATGGAAAGATTAAGTACAACTCCCAATTTGTCAATGTATCCTTTCACAAGATACTCGTTGTTGTTAGTGTTAAAGTGTTTACAAATATTCCTTTTTTTTTGATGATTAAAAGAATACTGATTGCTATTTCCCAACTTAATTACAACCATATAGTGACAGTTATACTTACGCGTTGGCCGCTCACTATTTCCATATATTTTACATGCATAAAAGCTTGAAAGAGTTCAACTGTTTTGTAAGCGCGCATCTGTGGCGTGTCATTATTATTATTATTATTTTCTTTGTTTTTGTTGTTTTTGATTTGTTTAATTCCTAATGGTGTTTCACAAATTGTCTCGATATTAAATAGGATATTGGTGCAGCATGTCTTTTTCTTGCAGCAAAACAAACAGATAACAGGCGAGATCTTGCTCAGGTTTCTGAATACAGTGCACTAATATCCTTAAAACAAGAACATACGATCACTAATCACGTACTTGTCATAATATGAATTATTTACTTTGAAATGAATCTAAGCCTAACTTGTCTAGATCAATATATTTTTTTAGGAAATTGACAAATGGAAATATAAAATTTTGAAATATGAACCAATCATATTTTTTGTGGTATACCCCCACATGGATATTGAACTCCCATTTCAATTTTTGTTTATGTTTCGTGACTCTCTTACCGGTAAGTAGATATGTAAAAGATGCGTTGTTCAGTTTTTGCTTTAATATATTTGTTAAATTTTTGATTAATAGGTTATGACCAAGAAATAGTGAATCGTCTAATCGGATGCAGTTTTCAATTACTGATGAATTGGTGATTCTTTTATCGTATCCATCTTATAAAATTTTAGGAAAAAAAAAAAACTTAATTTACACTATTTTCATTTGCAATTTAGCATGTACGTTCCCATCATGCTTTTCTTTAGTCCTAAAACAATATCGGCGGCTGCAATTTTCATCGCTGCAAAATCTAGTGACATTCCATTAAATGATAATCCAAGTGTTGGTACATGTTGGTTTGAATTTGCAAAAGTTGAAGATATCAATATAGTTGCCGGTAAAATTGCAACGTGATAATTTATGTTTCTATGTCATTAAATTTTATTAATTTAATTTATATAAACTTATAGCAGCAGTTGATTATATTTTGCAATCCTATACAACTGGACCTGTTGTTAAAAAATCCGTAAGATCTTATTTTTATTTTATTTCGATTTTTTGATGATTAAATAATGATTTCTACGTTGTTATAATAGGGTTGTTCTCAGGATCCCAATTGTCCAAATAACCCTCTCCATTTTGCTTGCACAGAGATCGTGCATATTGGACGAACTCAAGTACTAACCCCACCAGATACCTAATAGGCATATCTATAAATTCTATAGTATTTTTGCATGAGATTAACCTTTTTATTGCTGATTTGCTATGCTTATGATATATTCGAGATGCTTTTTTATTTGCACGATAGTGATGTCAATCTATATACTTTTAAGCATTCTCAAATTCAATTAATATTCTCTTATCATAGAATATTGATTTATATTCTTATATAAATACTAAAGTATTTATAAATTACTGCCCTTAATAACCTTTATAACTTGTTGATTACAAAGTAAATAAACATTGATCCAGTTCTATGATTTAATTGACTTAAATAATTGGGATGCCTCTTATCAAAGGAACCCAATTTGACAAATTTTCATATTTGATTTTTGAATAGATATATATTTAATAAAATTGTTTGCTAGATCATTTAAATTCGATTTACTCTAGGCCCTTTTTAATACGAGACACCCATATTGGCAAATATTGTGGTTGCAAAGTTGAATTTAATCATAATTGAAGGTGCATTTTTTTTAGGGATCTCTTTAAATAGCTTACAGTACTAGCTTAAGTCCACCAATATCATCAATAATTCTTCAGACTAACTAGAGCCATTAAGTTTAAAAATGCGTTGACCTAATAACAAATAAAATTTTATTTAAAATTCCTAAAAATCAACTTACTACGTACTCCAAGTTTAATTTCCTTATTAAAAAAAATGGTATATATGTGGTTACGATCAACATTTATCAAAATTCCGGTGATTAATGTCATATAGTCTGCTACAAGAATTCTAAATAAATTATAAGTAATATCCTTGGATATTTTTAATCTGTCTACCAGGTAAAATTTTGAAATTTTTATCTTAAATATTTATAAAGACTTCCGTTATTAGCTTATTGAAATACCATAAAGTATTCATTTGCTTGAGTTAATCTATACATCTTAAGTACTATTAAAAATTCTATATTTCATCAAACTTTATAAAGTTATGTAAGTGAATTATATTGATATACAGTTGGACCTCTATATAATCACCAAGTAGGTCGTGCCCTAATGTGTGATTATATAGAGGTGTGACTATAAACAAATATCAGATTAATATCATATGATCTTCAGCCAATCAATGATAATTGATAATTCGTTAGTCATAATCGACCTGCATCTAAAAGCTTTTTTGTATTAAGTTAACCACACTTTGATTCTCTAAGTAAAGTTGTAGAGCTCATTAAGACGAATCTAATGGTGGTTAAATCATCAAAATCGGCCCAGTGGTTACTGAGATATCTTCGAAAAACGTTTCGCCGACTATATAAATTCTTTGTAAACAATATAAAGAATTTTCTATAGTCGGCGAAACATTTTTCGAAGATATCTCAGATCCACTGGGCCGATTTTGATGATTCAACCACCATTAGATTCGTATTAATGAGCTCTACAACTTTACTTAGAGCCTCAGGTGATTAACTTAGTCAAAAAAAACCTTTCAATTAATAAATTAATGATTATAAAGAGGTTTTTTTATTAATTGAGATTTTAAGGTGATAGTGATTATAAGTGATTTGTGACTATAATGAGGTTTTTTTTTACTATATTTTAAGCCCGTCACACAAAATTGGGTGCTTAAATAGAGGTGTGACTATATGGGGTGTGATTATAGGGAGGTCCGACTGTAGTTTAATATGTGTCTAATAACAATAAAAAAAATACTAATTTTATTTTAAAACGTCGAAAGAATTTTCCTTTGAGCCAGATAAGGATTTAAGTACAATTCTACTAGATTGCTTATGTGCGCTCACATATTTACTGTGAACAAAAATTTTTTATTGCTCTAACACTAATCTTTCATATTCTATCCAATCAGCTCGTAGAAAATACAGAGCTAAATCCCCCTTTGCTAGGGATGGGCCGCTGCACTGGCGGAATATGTCGGAAGGCCGGAATATGCCGGAAAACGCCGAAATTTAGCAATTTTGGCCCGCATTAACCATAACGCAGGCCCGTACAGGCTGCGCAGTATTTTCAAAAAATTTTCGACTTAACCATCCCTACTTTTTGCCAATCATTTTAATATTTACTAGGGAATCCGCCTAATCATATTCTCATTTTTGAAAATTCTATATCAAAATTCTTCCATACAACGATCAGTATCCTTATTTTCACTTTCTCATCCTTGAACAACACCTCTAGGTTACCCACAAAATGGTTTGCGCTGTGGCATATAGGGTATGACATTAGGAATGTTACACAAAACATAGTCAAATTTATAAGGCTAAGTTCCTAAATTTACATCCCTAGTATCACACCCAGTGTTCGAAATCTGAGACTAAATTAGTGTTCTCATGTTCTATTTAGTATTTTTGGAGTCAATTTTTGAGTGTTCTCTAATATAAAAAATCAGCTTTCAGCTGTTCTCACTCACAAATTTGTGTTATGAGACCTCTGAGAACACTAATTTCGAACACTGATCACACCCTAATCTAACGGTAACCATTATTCGTGTAAATTATTTCCTTTTTAAGTTTAGTTTGGGAATAGTTTTGTGGGTTAGCATTGGCAGCACCAATTGTCATGGTAGTTTCTTGATTTTGATTAGCTAAGAGCGATAATAAAAATTTAGGCCGAAGTTACCTAAAATTTTACTAACTAAACCACAGCCGCCATTAAGTGAAAAATGTTCTGGCTAATTTTATCATCGCGCGAGCCTATTTCTCTAAAAATTTCCATTTTGGAATGAAAATGTTAAAAAGCTAATTCTGGCCAAAAACTATGCAAACAATTATATAATGCGGGCCAAAATTTTGTAGATCACGGCCGTTAGCCAATCAAAATCGAGAATCTGCCGTGGTCTTTTTGGAGATAGCTACTACTTGAACGGTTATGTCAGGACTACATGTCTGGCCCGATGCACACATGTGTTACCTTCATTGCAATGTGTAACCTTTATAGCGATAGTCAATAAATCTTAATAGTTATTTCACATGCAATTTATAAATTAATTTCTATTTAATGCAAATGGAATAAATCATAATAATAGTATTAATGAACTTGGATAATAAAAAGAGCCATTATATAACAGTATTAATAACCTTGATTAGCATTTTTAAGTACTAAGCTTAACTAACCATCTTTATACTCACCGGTTAAATATGAATAAAATGAAATATTTTATGAACTATTGTTGGTTAAACGGCTAATAAACAATTAATCAATTACGGTTAAACGATTAAATTATTACCACGTAATTTATAGTTAGGCAACACGATAAACCGCCAGTATAACCAGTCGTACCTGGGGTATATACTCTAATTGTTTGGAGATATAACTAAGGCGGAATATATCTATATAAAAAAAGAAATTTATTCCGCTCAAATATGGGAAAACATGAGAATATAACTAAGATAGGGATATAACCAATGCTCGAAATTTCCGACTCAAATACTGTTTTCATAAGAACAGTATAGTAACTAAATATTCTTAAAAGGACTTAATTAGGCATCGCAACCTGCGATGTGCTTATATGTCGCATTTTAGATGATTGACCAATCAAATATCAAGATCAGATGTAGCACGATTAGGAAAATTCAAAACCAACGTTCGTTTTGACAAAAGTTACTTATAACTAAAATTTCACATATGAAACTATCTTTTGCGTCCTAACAAAAAAAATTTCTTGCAAAATTTTACTATAAACATCCTCTTATATTGCACCCTAACTCTACCTAACCCTAACCAAACAAAAAAATCCCGGTTTATTAGTTGTTATAAGACAAATTATAATTTATATATAGATGCGATGTATAAATACATCGCAGTATGCGACACATACATTAATTCTTTTTGAACATAAATTTATACACTAAATTATTAAATTTGATTTATTTAAAAATATATATGATGGCTGAAGTTAAAAATTTAACCTATTTTATTATAAAAATTTAAAAAATTTTTGGGATATATTTTTTAAGGAAATTGATATTTCCACATCTTTTTTTGATATTTCACACCCTGTTAATAAAAATCAATATAAATTATTAGGGTTTGGTTAGGGTTTAGAGTTAGCAGGGGTGTGGCAATATCAAAAAAAGGGTGTGGAAATATCAATTCTCTTTTTTAATTGTTTTAATTATGGTTAGATTTATGGGTAGAATTTATAATTAACAAGTATAAGTAGGTTTTAGTAAATTTTTAAATCTAAATTAAAACTTCAAATTTTTAGTTTTAACCAAATTTAGCATTATCTTCAACAATATATAAAAAATTTTTTTGTAATTTTAAAATTATATACTTTGATATTTTATAATTTTTGTTTAAAATTTTGTTTCTTAGTTTCTTGTAGTTTGATGTTAATTTTCTATTAAAGTTGATATAGTTTTATCTTTATAATCCCTGTAAACTTAGATCAAATAACTAATTTATTTAAAGGAATTATATAATTAGTTAAAATATTTTTTAAAATTAAAAAATTTTTACTAAATAAAAGTTTTTTTCAAAAGAAGGTTTTTTAGTTTTAATTGTAATTAGAACATCAAAATCAACTTGATAAATTTTAAGATACTTGGAATTAAAAATATAAATATAGAGAATTGAAAATTGCTAGTTATAAAAATACTAGTATAATAATATTTTGTATAATTAACAATTTGCAAATTTCTACAAGCAAAATTACTATTTAGATAAATTAGCAGTACCAGTTTTGGTAAAATTAAAAAAATTATTTAAGTACTATTTTTAATATAGTTTAAAAATTAAATTTAATCTAAGATTTTTATATACTTTACTATAGTAGTATAGTATTTTAAAAATTCTTTTTTAGAATCCTATTAGAAATAGTATATAAATTAATATTTTTTATTTTATTAAAAATAGTAATATTAGCTTTAATACAATAGCTAAGCTAATAGTTAAATTAACTTTTAGTCTATATTTTTGTGAACTAGACTAGTTGATAAAAGAAATATTAGAATTAATTTTTTTAAAAATATATTTTAATTCAAAAATTAACAAATTATTTTTAATAATATAAAAGAAGTTAGCT